TTATCAGTTTTTGAATTAGGGGAATGAAATCAGACTTATGTATTAGGAAGATATATCTGGTGGCAAGGTTTATGGGAAAGGTATCAGACTAGAGGTGGATCTTGGTGATATAGATAAGAGATATGAAGGATTAAAATTCAGGAAAAAACAAGTTTTAAGACATAATAAAGAATATCAATTGTGTGGTAAACATATTAGAGCCCGAGGAAAACTACGATACTGAATCGCTAGGAGAATAGTAGTTCCTTTGTGAGGTCTTCGATGGGAAAGCACGCAGCACAGGTTTCAGCCCGGGGTGAAATATTTGGTTTAGAATTAAAATGTCGAAATTTAAGATGCTCTGGAGAAAATAATTTTGGAGTGTTCAAGAGGCCAGGAGTGACCCCTGAGCTGTACCTTCAGATATGGAATTAATCTTGGCAAAGGTGGTGGTAGACAATAAGGAAGTGGAAGACGTCATCCGGAAAGTAGCATAAGATGAATGAGAATAAGTATGGAACTCCTAAGAGCCACAGCATCACGGGGAAGTAGAGAGGGAGAAACTCGCCAAGGAGAGTGGGGTTTCTGGGAAAGTCACACCACACACACACACACACACACACACACACAGAAAAAGGGAGTCCAAATGAGACATTTAAACATATACATATGAACAGGGTTACATGCCATAGGATGGGCTAATAAAATGATACATGCATATATAATCTGCTATAATTGATATATGGCTTCATTCCTAATGGAGAAGAGCACGTTGTAGTTAGATGCTGTCAAATTGCTTCCAACTCATAGCAACCCTACCCAGTCCTGCAGCATCCTCACAATCGTTGCTGTTTGTGACCATTGCTGCAGCCGCTGTGGCAGCGTATCTGGTTGAAGTCTTCCTCATTTACTGACCCACTAATTTAACAAGCCTGCTGTCCTTCTCCAGGGATTGTCCCTTCCTGATAACATGTCCAAAGTAAAGGATGCAAAGGGTTGCCATCTTTGCTTCCAAAAAACATTCTGCTTGTATTTCTTCCAAGACAGATTTTCCTTCTTCAATACGCAGATCTCGCATGCATCGGAGATAACTAAAAATAGCACTGCTTGGTCAGATGCAGCTCCAGGCATCACAGTGGTGCTAAATACACATGCAATAAAGTCATGGCTTTTTGCATGTTCTTGACTGTTATTAAGAGAAACTACTGATAGCAATGGCCATCATTCCAGAGTATAAGAGAATATAGAACTCTCCAACATCGGAAGATCATCTTGCTGAATTCTGGATGTCCAGTCTTTCAGTTAATGCTTTTCTAATAGGTAACTATCCCCAAGACGCAATGAGCACTATAGGATCTGAGGATATAACACACATTAAGAGAAGATTGTTGGAAAAGGACATATTTCAAAGAAGCTGTCTCAGATAAATCTTATTTATCGATTTATGCTATAACGGAAATATCACAAGTACACTTTAATTTTAACAAACACTTTAATTTTCTCACAGAGTAGAAGATTAGACATCCTTTTACTGTTGGCTCTGGAAGAAGGACTGTGGAGATCTCCACATGTCTTGGCAGTTAGCTGCCCTGGAGTCTAGGAGTTTCTCAGCTCAGGGACCACAAGTACGAAGAATGTGCTCCAGTCATGCATTTTCTTATTCCTGGTAGGGAGAGAGATCTCTCTCCTCCTTTACACCCCCTTGTAACTCTTGTAAGATAAAAGATGTAGTTCGAGCAAGGGTGTGACTTAAGTAGGAATGTGACGTAATATCTCCTTATAAGGCTCACAATATCTGGTTGGCCTGTATTGGCCGTGTGATAAAAGTTAAGCTCTCTTTGCTTCTGTCAAGTTAAGTTGTGAATCAGCTGCTCATCACAGGTCAATAGTTGGAAGCCACCAGTCATTCCATGGGAGCACGATGCTTCCTGTTGCCATAAAGATTTGCAGCCTCAGACACCCTCAGCGGCCATACTGCTCTGTCCCATAAGGCCGTTAGGAGTTGAGATCAGCTTAATGACAGTGAGTTTTGAGTTTGTCTCTCTATCCCTCAATGTCGAGGACCTACTGTGCATCTTAGAGGACTACATTTTGTTGTTGAGTCAACAGCAAAAGTTTGGGATGGAGGAAATAGGGTGGTTCTTTTGGAAGCCCCCCTCCCCCCACCCCCAAGATCATTGGTTTTCAAGTTGGGGGTGTGGTAGAAGTAGGAGAGAAAGAAGATAAATTCTTTTGGGAGTTTTTCAAAGGGAAGGGGCTGCTTGTGTGTAGATGTACCTACACCTACACAGTGTGTGTGTGTGTGTGTGTGTGTGTGTGTGTGTTATTGTCAATAATTTCAGGGGATTTCCATCAACGCCACTCTCCTGATAGAAAATCACTACTCTGCAGTGAGCAAGTAAGGACCCCAGTTATAATATCAGAATGAAGACCTAGGAGTGAGATCGTTTTAGTTGACAATACAGTCCAGCAAGTGAACTACTAGAGTAGACGGAAGTAGAAATTCCCAGAGTAGTGACCAGGAAAGACTGGTAGGCTACACAGGTCCACCACAGCATGGCTGATGCTCAGATTTCGTCTCCATCCTCTGCAACGTGACCTTCTTGACTGCCAAACACACCACGTTCTCAATAAATACTCTTAATAGACTATGTACATTTCAGAAAATGTGTTATTTTTAATATCAAGAATGTGAGCATGCAACATTGCTAAATACAAAAGTCATACAAGCTCACCAACGACGCCAGGGATTGCCCCTTTTAAAAATGACCAAGTTGTAGGGCCCAGGATGTAGACATCATAAATCACAGCTCTTTGCCTGCACTCAATTGATTACTAGTGCATCATCTCCTCCTTATTACTATAGGATTCATACAGAAGCTTTACTGCCTCCGGGTTTCATTTCTTCCCCTTTATTGCTTTTCTCTAAAGAGAAATGAAAAATCGTTGTTCACATGCAATGGTGCCTTACCACTACGAGTAAGACCCGGCTGTGGGCAGTTCCAGTGTGCAGATCTGGGGTAGTGCCTAAACACTGCAAGACACATGGTCTCAAATGCATTAAAAACAACTTTATAAATTTATAGTAGTGACATGTTGCCATAGGATGTGTAAAGTAAAATGTAAATTAATAGAGGAAGATAAACTTGACAAGTTTAGACTTATGGCAAACGGGTAAAAAAAACTGGAATTCACAGATTTTTAGTTAAACAACAGGAGTAGCATACTACATAAAATACCCTAAGCCACGTGAGAGTTACAGTATACCCACGTCAAAATTGTTTGAAATATAACACACAAAACTAGGTATAACTGGATTTCTTATTTTTAAAAAAGGCAGCACTTTCTATGATTCAGTTCCATCTGGATCCTTACCCAGCTAGATGAAATTGAACAGGACAAAGGCTCTCTGCAGGGGGCTCAACTTCATGGTGCATGAAATTGCAGCTTCTTATGAAGTTTTTAGGTTTGGAAAAATATGCCATACCGGGACTGACCTTCCTAATCCATGGAACGGGTTGAGTGGTACTTCTCTAAGACAACTGTTTGAGGGTTCATTGGGAAAACATATGCAACAAAATTATCAACAGAGTTTATGCATTCCACGCTCGGTCTCCTACCCTTTCCTTGTCTCTTAACAATTCAGTTTCGTGTGTATCATTATTTGCAAACAAAGGAAATGACCATAATGTGTGGAAGATAACTGGAGACACCTGCAGAAGCAAAATCTGTAGGATCTAGACATTCTGGAAAGTGGCTTCTCCTTTTCCCAGTGTGGGGAGGCTTCTGGGTTTGGATGTAACAAAGTCGCAGTACAGGTCAAACCGAATCAAAAGCTCCATATGACTTTGCCATTTAGCACTATTATAAATTCAATGACAAGTCTGACACCACATGCATGGATAATCGTATACCACATAGGAATAAAAAAACTCCACGTATTCTCAGCACTGATCCTAAAGTCACACGGGATTCATTTAGATTTCCACAATTTTAAGTCGGGGAAACTTTACCTAGATTCACAAGACTTCTATGAAGATAGTAAATGAGGAAATGGAAAACAAATGAGTTGGATGTTTTAAACAGATGATCAGAAGTACTTGGGTTTTTTTTTTTTTTTTAAAGCTCAGGGGCCTATTTTCACATTTGTGAGTCTACTAATGAGGAGAGTTTGGGAATTTTATTGGGACATTTTGCCTCGTAGAGAGAAGGATAGAAGGAAGTACTCTCAGACCTACCCTTTTCTTATTCTAGACTCTCGAAGGCCCACACCATTTTTGTTTTGGTCTAGCAACGTCTGAGTGGTGATCCTATGAGAACCATATCCTTAAGCTCGTCAGTTAAAAGGTACTGTGAAGGGAGACGTGGGCAGACTAGACTTGCCATCCATCCTCTGGACAGCTATCAAGATGGGGTCCGTTGTTGGCATGTCCATATAGTTTATCTGACTGCTTCAGCAGAGATTTAATCTACGAGGTCAACTACATAGCTTCTTGATTGTAAATGGACTTCCTGTGGTCTGATATTTATCCAGTCACTCGTGAACCATTGATGTATTCCTGGTTCCTTATTTATTACCACTGAAAAATGATTTCATAATACTGACCAGAAGGATCAAACAGCTCACAGAAAATTTCCATACAATAAGTACCATAATGTTGAAACACAGCAGAGGCCATATTCCAGCAATATTATGGAAAATTTTGTTAAACTCTTATGATTATTATTATATCAGAATGCAATTCACACAAAGTATTACTAAAAATTTACAAACATTAAAAAGTGCATAATAACATTTTGATCTGACAGGGCTGGGAAAAAAAAACCCAGGGAAACATAGCACAAGGATTTTACTTTTGCTATTTGTGTCCATATGATTGCAAGAAGATCTTTTCTCATTCTTCTTCAGCTTCAGAAAAGTAAAATGTCCCCCCAACTTAAATATTAGCGAACAACATTGTGAGACACTTGGTTCTAACAGCACAATATATTTCTAGTTATTAGTATTATCTTGTATTCTCTTTCTCTACCTTCCCAATTCCCCCAAATTCACATAATTAAAGGAGACTATCAGTAGAGAAAAACTCTTGGGAGTAAAACAAAACTGACAGGTTGAATTTTGGTCAAACTGACTGAATTCAGAAAATATTCACATTATTGGATATTGTTCAATGCTAACATAATAAATCTTGATGAATCTCTTAGATTGAATTCACCAGCAGATAGTGATCAAAGGGAAATTTTAAGTTAGGGGGAAAATGTGTGCTCTCTCCTGTGTTCACCACCACACTATGGGGGATGGGGAAAAAAAGACAGCCCTTTTTGAAAATGAGTGGTATAAAAATTCACAGTAACATACATCATTTTTGTTTTCCATAAGCAATCAAAGAAGGGGGCAGTGCTGAGCATTTCTATATTATACGATACAAAACAGTGTCAATCACACAGCAATAATACATGGATATATAATTCTAAAAACAGTGCTTTCTGAATGAAGTTTTACTGGGTCAATGCTTGGGCCAGAGATCTTGAAACTCTGGTGGTTCAATCAACCCTTTGCGATTAGACACAATTAAATCCTCTGACATTGTGAGGGGCCAGATGCTACAGGAAGAATCATCATCTAGTGTCGGTGCTACTCTCTACAAGCATTTCATCATACGGTCAAGTGAAAGGATCCATACAAACATGATGTCCCAACACCAGCCACATGATCTCAACCATTGCTAATGACAGAGGTAGAAAAAAGTCTGTCTGCAGCGACAGCCTCTGCTCCCATGTGGAACATGGTCAAGAGCAGGTCCCTGCAATGCAGCACAGCCATTTCCTTCCCCCCCTTTGCACTCATCCAAACAAATGCTCTCCAGCCAGGCCTGGAGATTGGAGACATCGTCAGGGGTGGTTCACGGGCAAAGCGGGGTGTTAGCTTTCGGATTTTGCTGCTTCCCCCTGGCCCTCTCCGCTTTGTTCTGCTGAGCTTCTTTGTGCATCTTCTTCACCTTCTGTAAGAGATGATAAAAATAATGTGAACAGCACAATCAAAACTCCTGCATCTATTTTCTCACTTTCAATATATCAGACTGGGAACTCCACAAAGATGCAAGGCATCTGAAATCCATAGAGGTATGGATGGGTATTTTCTTGGTAAGCAGATCACCATCAAGAAAATAGTGTAACTATTTCAAGAACTAGATAACTAGGGAAAGCCTGACTCAAAAATGAAATAACTGAAATTTTGGTGTAGTTAGCCATCACCTAGGCTTTTCACACGTAGCTAGGGTGTCTCATGGCTAGATCATGGCACAAGAAATATAGCAATTCTAGATATTTTCAGTCTTCAGTCACAAAACATAAACGGGGAGCGAGTTTCCCTTTCTACATCTGCCTTTCTAATTTTAGGAGCCCTGGTGGTGTCGTGGTTATGCATTGGGCAGCAATCAGCATGGTTCACAGTTCGAAACCACCAGCAGTCCCTTTGAAGAAAGAGTAGACTTTCTACTCCTGAAAACAGTCACAGTCTTGGGGGTCACTATGAGTCGGCTTTGACTCAATGGATGGGAGTCAGGTTTCGGGTTTTCTTATTTTAAGAAAGATGTGGATATGTTTTCTTCTATTTTTTTAAAGGCCCAGTGTACACTCCTAGGTTTTATTACTTCAAATAAAAGAGTGGTGGAAGATACAAGGACATTGTTTCTTGTCTGCTGGTCAGTCACTTGGAGGGATAGTTATGAATGTCTCTGGATTCCCTGTAGAGAACATGTGCTGAGTTCTAGTAAAACCACCATCATGACTGTACCCTGAGCCGTGATCCCAGCCAGTGACACAGTGAACACTGAATTAAACAATGTTTTCACTCAGTATTAGGTCACGTTATCTGAGTGGAAGCTACGTAATCCTTGACCCTAATATTCAAATGTTTTCATGTGTCACTTGGTTACTAGGCAGTCACTATGGCTTTACTTCTCTTGTCACTGCCACACAACAATTGAGTGGAGCTATACAAATAAGGTGCTTGTGATTCACCCAGGGGATTGGACACCTTGCTACGAAAGCAAATAAGATACATCAACTTGTTGAAACACCCTTTGTGGGGGAGGGACCATGCAAATACGGTGCATGGAACCCTAACAAGGGGATCGGTCACGTTTGCCATCCCACTAGGCTTACAGGGAGGATTGGAAAGAGAGAGGAGGAAGCGGTAAAAATAATGGAAGACCATGCGCAGTAACAGCGAAAGAGATGATAGAATGAGACCGGGGAGCAGGTCACCACTGGATGCCAGCTACAGATGGGCTCGCCAACCCATGGAGCTAGTAGTTTTAACACTTGCTGGAGAAGACCAGACCAGGGCTGAGCAGCTAAAGCTGATGAAGCTGCTTTCCCTAATCAAGACCGGTATCTTGAGCCATCCTGTTGCTCCTGAGTCATTCCTGATCGCACGTTGTACCTTGTCACTTCCCTACGAAACCTCATATTCCTGAGTATTGTCTGTGGCTTCTGTGTTTGCCAAGACAACACATTTCTGAACTTTCAGAAACATAGAGAGGGCCGTATGAAGGATGGCTGGTGTCAGAATGGGTAAACAGAGTTGGAGGGTAGAGGTATCAGAGGACTTCCGTTATCTTTCATTGTATTTTTCAAGAATCCTTTGAAGCCCACCTCCTCCTATATCCAGCATCCACCTCATAGGGATCAGCCTGGGGCTGATGATGGTTGTAATCCACTCTTCCTCTACTGAAAGCAGAGGTGGACCTCTGGTGCCAAGACACCTTTTGGCAGGCCTGGTGGACAAATAATTCTGGGGATTTCAATAACATAATCATACAGACATTTAATAAAAGTTTATCATTTAAATGGATGGAGGGAAGTTAGCTCACTCTTTGGATTGTAATGTTGAAGGTGACAACTTTCTATTTTTGTCTTAACATGTATACATTTGATGAATGATACAAAGATCTCCCCATGTTCAAGTGGTATTTAGACTTTCAGGGAATTAAAAACAATTCCTTTACATAAGAAATTATGTTATGTTCTAAATGGGTTCTAAAGACATGACCAGGTATTATGTATCACTGTCCTATATACTTTTCATTATAGGAATAAGCAACAGGATCCCAGGATGTACAGATGGCCTGAATCTGAGTAGGCAGATAAACATCTAACAAGACCTTGATATATATATGAGATGCTCTTGGTAACCAAAGGATGAGGTCAAATTAGGTCAAATGCAAACAGCAGAATATTCCAAGATGAAAGTGACTACATAAATACAGGATGAGAAACTTCACTCTAACGGGCTTTGGGATTTGATAGGTGTCTAGGGACTAGGGACTCTTCTCACGGCTTTGAGTGCTGTGCCTGACATACAGTTGTTAAAAACTGAGGAAAACTCAGGGTTGTCATGCTGTCAAGCAGGAAACCACAAGAGATGTAACAGCAAGAAGTCACAATGGACACTTCCCACAGTTCTCAGGGATGTTTAATTTGCGACCATACATTGTTGTTCTTTAATATTTTCTTATTGTACAGTTATTAAGTTTAGTTCTTTTTACTTAAAAGAATAGTCTGTACTGTTTATACTTTGCCTAATTCTGATTGCATAATTTGAGGGGAAAAAACCCAGAAAATTGTCTGCAATTAATGTGCAGAAATATTTAGAAATATTTGAATTATTTCACCTAGACAAAACTTAATCAGACATGCTCTGAGACAGAGGCTTAGGGTTAAAAACTTTTAATTTCAATGAAAAAAGAAGAAATTACACTATGAGGAAAAATTTACTACTACTAATGGTAGTTAAAACTAATGCATTCTGGAGATGCTTTAAAACCAAAAATTTATGTACAAAGAAGAAAAACATAAAATTTTAAAAATAAACTTTCAAATTTCAAGGACATCACAGAAAGAAGTATGTTTATGCACTTAAGCTGCTGAACATGATTAATAACCTCTAACATACTTCAGAGTTCTTTCATAAGTAACTTCCCATAGTAATGTACCCACTCCTCACTGTGGGCATGATTAGGTTCCAAAGATCAGGTCATTATTTTGCAAAATTGAGGATAATCTCATCAGATCACAAAACAGAGGATGACAACATCCTTGCATAACTGCCAAACCAATGAGAATCATAGCCCAGCCAAGTTGGAACATATCCTTAATCACCGTAGCCAGAATTATTTTTACCTTGACCTTCATTATAGCCAAATGGATGCTGCCAATGCACACAATAGTCAGATAGTTGATTTTTACTATCATTGTAGAGTAAAATGTTAGATAACAAGATAATAAATGAAGAGTAGGCCAGTTAGTTTCTGATATTCAACAGGATTTTCTTCTGACAACTTCATTTTAAGTTGTTCTGACATAAATCTTATACCTCATTTTTTTAGTTTTCATTACATTGCCTTATATTATCCCTATCCTTGCATGTCTAATCTTTATTTATCTTTGGTGGTCGGGAACTTTAGATATAAACTTACAGATTTGATAGTATCAGTAAGTTACGTGCTGTCGCAGTGCATGTAATGTCTGTTACGCACGTACGAGGTACCAGCACCACCACAACAAAACAGAGGGTTGTAAGTGCAGTTAGTTGTAAGTAAATGGATTTTTAGTCGGGGGCTATATCTATTGCATATCTACAGGCTTCAAAATGTTTGTGGAGAAATTCCAACTTTTCAATCCACTTTTCTACTTTTTGTATATATATACATGTGCGTGTGTATATACAAAAGCAGAATATATGTAGATATATTCTAACTCAGTTTTCCAATAACTCAAGTAGTTTTGCCATAATAATTATGATAACGAAAATATATTGAGTGGATAATACAAGTCACAAAATGTGAAAGTGTTTTTAAGCAGTATTTTATTAAATAAGAAAAAGAATGGCAGGGTTGAATAAAAAAAACACCAATGCTTGGTGTTCTATATTTCACCCTCCTCTTCTCTTTATACAGAGAAAGATGAGGGTTTCTATTCCCATGGAGAGTTAAAGTCTCGGAAACCCACAAGGGCAGTTCCACCCTGTCCTATGGGGTTGCTATGAGTCAGAACCGACTCAGAGGGAGTGAGTTTGGTATTCTTGTTTCCTTCTCTTCATAAGGCACCCAGTGCAATAGTGGATTATGCATAATCCACAGCGAGAACCCACTAGCAGCCCCACGGCAGAGAGCTGAAGTTGTCTGTTCTAGTAAAGATTTACAATTTGGGAAACCCAAAGAGGGGGTTCTCCTCTGCCCTTTAGGCGTGCTCTGAGTAAGACTTGAGACTGCAAAGTACTCCATCGGGTTTTTGTTCCCTTAGGTCTTGTCTTTTTAAGTCCCATTGTCCTAACTGTTGTATTCTTGGTGAAGCTTAAGTAAGAATTTGGCTGCTAAGCTGCTAACTTATAAGACAGTGGGTCAAACTCTCCAGCATCTCTGTAGGGGAAAAATGCGCAGTCTGTCTGCAATGATTTACCAGCTTTGGAAATCACATGGGGCAGGTCGATTTCTGTCCAACAGGGCAGCTATGGGTCCGAATGGACCGGATGACAATGTCTTCGTTTGTTGGTTTTGTTCAGCTAGCTTCTTGGAGCCATTGGCTTTTTGTAGGATCAAAATGGTCTCCCTCTATGTGTGCAGAATAATCCTTAGGCTCGAAATTTTGTGTTTTGCTTATTTTTAATATCAGTACTATGAGACTCCTTGATTAATAGTTAAATATTCAAGGATAAAATAAAAATTTCACAAATCCGTTTTAATAAAGGAAAATAATCTTTTACTTTATATTCACTTATATAAGAGAATATTTCACTTCTACTCTCGTTAAAATTGGCACTGGAGAACCTTCTTTCTTTCTCTTTCTTTTTCGTTCTTTTTCACCTCCTTCTTATCGTGTACTGCTCTCCTTTCACCCCAAGTGAGACTCTTTTTATTTGAAATCAATCTTGAAATTGTGATCCATCAGACTAACCAGTGGATCGTGTTAAATATGTAACTCTTAATTAAATGTCAGATGAGACCCCCAGCTTGTCGGAACCAAGGGCTCCAACTTAGTTAAATACTCTACACAGCAATTTCAAAGCTTTTACAGAGACTGTTGTTGCTGTTATCTGCCCTCCAGGCCGTTCCAACCCATAGCGACCATGCACAACAGAACAAAGCACCACTTGATCCTGCGCCATCCTCACAACTGTGCTTATGGCTGAGCTCCTGTTGCAGCCACTGTCAATCTATCTCGCTGAGGGCCTTCCGCTCTTTTGCTGCCCCTCCACTTCACTGAGCACAATGTCCTTCTGCAGGGACTGCTCTCTCCTGACAGAGATTCGAATGTAGAAAAAAAGGACAATGTGTGTGTCTGATTTCTTTCATTACTAAAGTCAGCTTAAGTGTTCTACATTATAGGGGGAAATCCTGTAAAGAGAAATAACTAAAAACAGACTGGTGCAATTATAAATTAGTCCCAGGCTTTTACCTTCCTTCGATTTTTTTATAATTCTTTCTATTAGGCCTTTTTTTTTTCTTTTTTAACATTTTATTAGGGGCTCATACAACTGTTATCCCAATCCATACACACATCAATTGTGTACAGCACATTTGTACATCGTTTCTCAAAACATTTTCTCTCCATTTAAACCCCCGACATTAGGTCCTCATTTTCCCCCTCCCTCCCCGCTCCCCCCTCCCTCATGAGCCCTTGATAGTTTATAAATGGGTATTTTGTCATATCTTGCCCTGTCCGACGTCTCCCTTCATCCACTTTTCGGTTGTCTGTCCCCCAGGGAGGAGGTCACACACAGTTCCATGTAATCGGTTCCCTCTCTCCAACCCATTCTCCCTTTACCCTCCCTGTTTTGCCACTCACATCACTGGTCCTATAGGGCTCATCCATCCTGGATTCCCTGTATTTTCAGTTCCTATCTGTACCAGTGTACCTCCTCTGGTCTAGCCAGTCTTGCAAGATAGAATTCGAGTCATGGTAGTGGGAGCGGGGAAGAAACCTTTAGGAACTAGAGGAAAGTTGTATTTCTCATCATTGTTACATCGCACCCTGACTGGCTCATCTCCTCCCCGAGACCCCTCTGCAAGGGGATCTCCAGTGGCCTACTAATGGGCTTTGGATCTCCACTCCGCACTCCCCCCATCATTCACTATGGTAAGATTTTTTGTTCTGATGATGTATTAGGCCATTTTTAATGGTAGCTTTCCACACCTAATTCCCCTCTGGAAATACCTCGAATTATTACATGTATATAGAGAAATGTGTGTTAATCTGCTTACCTGTTTTGTTGATATCAAGACCTGCTAATTTCAAGGCTAATTCATTGCTGTTACCACTTGCAGAAGAAACCAGGATATCATGTATTGCATTTCTTCTACCTGTTCTTCCTGAAGCAATAAAATCTGCATATGTAGTCTCCACATCAGTCATTGCTAACAAATATCCACATAGCAGGGACTGTAAGAGAGAAAACGTAGTAGATAATTATAATGCTGGTGAAAGAATGGTAAATAAGCATAGCAAAGGTACTTTTTAAATTTCACGCATATAACATGAATGTGAAGAAATATTTTTGGTTACATGCTCACACAACAAGCAGTTTTGTGGAACGCTTTTTCTGTAAAGGGCAGATAGCACATTTGCTAGGCCTTAAATATTTCAAGGTCTCTGTCCCAATTGCTAAATTCTGTGGCTGTCATGTAAAAGCAGCCATAGACAATAAGGAACAAATGGGCGTGGCTGTGTCCCAATAAACCTCGATGAAACCGGGCAAAGACACCTGTTTAGACAATGAGTTGTCCTTCTCTAGCACTGATTTAAAAACTTGGTGGCACAGTGGAGAAGGCTCTCAGCTGCGAGCTGTCCGGTTGGTGGCCTGGTTTGCAAAGCTACAGCGCTGTGCCTTCATAGAGACAGAGAGCCGCCTGCAAAGCCCTGGGGGCAGTTCTCCCCTGTGCCTTCTCCTTGAGGGGAGCAGGTTTGGGCGCCACAGCGGTGAAGTGCTCGACTTCTAACTGAAAGGTGGCAGAACCCATCCAGGGGCTCTTACTCACCTCCCTATCCTGAATCTGTGAAAGGAAATCACAGAAGTTGTCTATATTTATAAAAGAGTCAGTAAAAGGGATTTTTCTCAAACAAACTCCAACAACAAAAACACTTGGGCGTGGGAGGACATGGGAGAGAAGGAGGTGAGGGGAACGGTAGTGGTGTTAACAAACCCAGGGACGAGGGAACAACAAATGATCCAAATCGGTGGTGAGGAGGGTGTAGGAGGCCTGGTAAGGAGTGA